CATATCCAAAAGGAGCTCAGCAGCTATCACTGAGTGACTACTTTTGGAAAGGAAGGCTACATACTTATGATTTGGTCAGGAAGCAGTTGTGACAGTGTGATTCATACTCCTGGATGGCTCAAGCAGCAGTTATGCAATCAAGGACATGGTATAGCAAAGACTAAAAAGTGGTTTGACTTGCCTCTATCATCTGTGAGCCTAAGTGTTATGATTGTGCTAAGAATATTGTGTCCTTCATTTGTGCAGAACTGAATTGTCCATTTCCTACTTTATTGAAAAGTATACTTTGAGGGATTTTCTTTTGCACAGATGTAAGGCATGATTTTAAAAATTATTATTTTTATTTTCTGCAGAAAATTTTTAAAAACTCCAATCATTTGCTTTTAATAATATTTTTAAAAATAAGGGCCAGTATTTTGAAATAGAAATACCATCTTCAAGTCCATTTCAGCAAATAAATCTGAAAATGTGTTAAACAGATACAAAGGTTTTTGTATTGTATTGATTGACTTAACCAAAATTTATTTCCTTAAATATTCAAGATTTGTAAAAATTGTAAAAATTTGTACAATAACTTTTGATATTAACTAAATATAGGAGCCCACTCATTCTACAAAATGAACTGAGACCATTTTGACATTGGAAAACATTTATGAAATTAGCTCAGTGCTTAAACTTTTCTTTCTCTCCTAGAAGAAGCTTCCTAAGAGCAGAAGGAAAATATGGCTTATTCCTTTGGGTATTTTTATTACTTCTATTTTCCAAATCACTTTGAGTAGGAAGGTATAGAACTTCACAACTCAGAAGTTCATCCTTACACTTACTGAATTGCCGGGTAGAATTGCCCTCTGTCATTCCATTCCCCAGACCTGTATTCCTTTTCCAGCTTTGAGACCAAATTACTAATACTACTGGATAAAACAGGCCATACTCAACAGCAGGTACTGCTTGCCAGAAGTGCACCCTAAGCTTTCCATCTACTTCAAAGTGTTTTCATGTATATTAACTATTTTATGGTGAAAATACAGATGTATCTCCAGACAAGAAGAGACTCAATTATTGTCTTTAAATTTACCTTCAAAATCACAGAAATACAGATAAGTTAGGAGGATTGCTCCAGAACATACAGAAATTGTATGACTAATAGATAAATTAGAATCTGATGTGCTTTCCTATCAAGAGAATATACCCTAACATTAACCATTCTCTTCATTTCTGTGTGGCTTTTCTCAGCATCTCTTTTCTTCTTTCATCCTTCAAGCATTCTTATTCCACACATCACCTATATTTATATAAGGTAAAATCTCATAATTAATTATAGTGAGGAGAAAAATAAATAAAAGCAGACTTTTCATTGAATTTTCCAAAACTGGTTTCTTTTTAAATCCCTTTTTATATAGGGGTAGTTTCAACTTTGAGACTTACCACTTGACAATGAATAGAAGTTGAGAATTTAATTAGTAGTACTAGGTTTTACTCTTTGAGCTTTTTTTTTTTCTTAATTTGCAAAGGCACAGGATTAGGAATTCTGCGGAAGAAAAATACTAGAAATGATGGAACAACTGCACCAATGACTAGATTTAGCCCCAGGTCTTTAATTTTGAAGGCTGCTTTTAATATACCTATTTAGAGATTGGACTACTAGAAAATGCTAGCTTCTTTTATTTCTTTATAAGCCCACATCTTTCTCAACAATAATATGCATATATATACATATATATTTATATATATGAAAGTGCACTTTATTTTTTATTCAATTGTTACTTTAGCAGTGTCTGCAATTAAGAACCAGCTCACTAAATGAACTGTAATTATTGCAAATTGTGGTAAGCACCAGTAATTAAAATGTTGCAGTAATGCTAGCCAGCTTTGCTAGTTGCCCTTTGAGAGTACCATAAAATGATATTGTGTCTTTAACTGGTGTTTTTATTACAGATGAGAAAACCTGGAAATTCAGGCCTTCAAAATCCTTTGGCTGAGTCTGTAAGCACAATGTGAAGTGGGGATTAATAGTTATCCGGTGAATTCAAACTGGGAAGATAGTCAATTTGGTTAATTCCTGGTAAAATGGCTTTTTCTTTCAAATGTGCAATCTTTAGGGCATAAACATACATGGCTTCCCCATGGGGGGAAAATGAACAATAAACTCTAATCTCTTTTTTGTGATTGCAGGATGCTAATAGTGAGCCTTCTGAGTACAAAAGCACTAGGAACTCCTTCAATGCCACCCATCTTTTGAGGCTCCTCACCCAGCTGCTACCCTCAGTGAACTCTCCAGCTGTGCAGTCATTTGGCAGAGTGCACTGTTATGCATAACTTAAGCTATGTGTGTGTGACTTCAAAACAACTGCCAATACAGATTGTCCACATGAAAATCCCCAAACTATCTGCAAGTGAAAAACAATGGAATCAGTGGAGGAAAAGGTCCAAAGGGGTAAGGGTAGTGGGCGGGGCAGGGGAAAGGAAAGAAGGGAAAGGAAAAATGATGAGAAATGGAAAAAATGGAATTAAAGTCTTTGTAAATAGGGAAGGGTGGAGGGGGTGAAGGGAGGGCTAGGAATGGGGAAAAACTAAGAAGCAAGATGC